AGACGGCCAGGTGGAGGCTTAGGCGGAGATGACGACGAGGTGATTGGCGGCTTCGGCCATCCCCCACCCATCCACGGCAGCGTGCTGAGGCGGTGCCTGTAGGCAACCACCAAAATGCACCCCAGTCACGCTGAACACGGGTCTTGCGCCATGACGGCTACCTTCCAGGCAGGCGCATTGCAGACATCCTTCATGACTTCGTACACGCGCACTTAACACCCCCTCATCCTCGCTCGTCGCGCGCCAGAACACCCGTTGCGACACGTCTGAAGCAGTCGCGACCATGGAGACCATCAGTCGACTGCCCCGACGCCTGACACAGCTCTACTCCGACACCAAGACCACATGCGATGCCGTCGTCGAGCAGGATGCCAAAGACACACCCGAGTCGCATGCACTGCATCGTAAGTTCAGGATACAGAAGGACCGGCTAATAACATGGGGCGTGGACTGGAGCGACAACTCCAAGGGGAAGCAGGGCGACATCGACGAAAGCGTGGAGGAAGCAGGCATGACGGAGACGGTCACAAGCGTGCTCGGAACCATCAAGGAAATCCTCGACGAGGCGGAGCAGATGCACCCGGGCACGTCTGCTGCGGGTGGGGGAAAGACAATGTCTGGAGAGAAGAGCCGGCCTGACCTTCCCTCGTGGGCGGCCGCCGACAGGTCACGTTACGAGGACCTCATCAAGGACCTCACCACCTCCATCGACATACTCTATGACCTCTCACGGAACCGCAGAGTCCAGAGAAGCAATGAGCGTGGTATTAGTCCAGGAAAAGCTACACCGCATCACAGCACATCGACTCCCGTCTTCTTGTCGCCTGACTACAACGCCTCCGACCTGACGCTGGTCAATCCTGCTACCTTCCCTCTGAATGCACATACCCCCAGATCTCATCTTCCACCCAAGCTAGATCCTGCAGACCTAATCCTCCCCGACGAGGAACCTCCGCCATACGAGAGCGTTGGGACTACTTCTGTTCGCGTCATCGGCCGCCTGCGGTCTCGCCACAGTTCCACCAACCCCTGGAAGACGGATGGCAGCAGGAACATAGAGACTTGCGTTTTGATCGACTACGCGTGCTACGACCCCGCCTACCGTCTCACTGGCGTGTCCCCATCCACCCAGCGCCTCGAGAGCCTTTTGTCAATACTGACAAAGCTGTCCAACAACCAGTCCTTCCACGGCACCCTTAAGTGCCTTGGGTATTTCGAAGATCCAAAACAGCCGCGCTTTGGCCTGGTCTTCGAGCTGCCCACCTCAGTCTACTCAGGGCCAGCCGATTCCCACAAGCCAATCGACGAGCTCAAACCAGTGACGCTGCTCAGTGTATTGCAGACGGGCTCCAAGTCTTTGCACAACCCCAACAGTGCCACCCCGCCACTTGAGGACCGCTTTCGTCTAGCTTTCACGCTCGCCTTGACCTTTAGCAAAATCCACGGCGACGATTTTCTCCACCAAGACGTCAATAGCAGCAACATTATGGTCTTCAAGAAAAGCAAAAGGCAGTCTGCGAATAGTAGAGCATTGCAATACTCGCTGCGTTCGCCTGTAATATGTTCCTTCGATCTGTTCTCTGACTTCGACATCGACACCGACAAGGCGAAACCAACGCTGAACATCTACCGGCATCCGGAGGACCCCAAGTTCACTGGAAGTCAAGACCAAAAGTACAATGCCAACTTCGATCTCTATGGCTTGGGGCTGGTGCTACTCGAAATAGGATTGTGGCAGCCTCTACTTGACCTGTGGAAGCAAAAGTACACCCTGAGCGACTTCAAGCAACGGATAGAAGATGTGTACATCCGCAGGCTCGCTTCAAAATGCGGAACAGCCTACATGCAGGTTGTGCGCGACTGCTTCTGGGCAGCGGATGTCAAGGGCGACAATGCGATCGATGTTCCGCAGGTCTACACTCGCATCCTAACCAGACTGCAACGCTGCTGCATGCTGGATGAGTCGGAACCTGGGTTTGACTTGAGCGAATTGAGACCGGGTGCTACACCGGTGCAGCAAGCATCTCCATTGAAGCGCAAGAGCGCGAGCCAGCCACAGATCGTCACCGATGGCCAGTCAAGTCCATCCTATAGGAGTGCAAAGCGATGGGCGTTGGAGAAGGGTACACAAGCCTTGGAAAGGACCAAGTCTCTCTCAAAGAAGTCACCAGATCTTTCATTGGCTCGTAATCCATCACGGAGCTCGCAACACTCCATCCGGAAGAGCATCTCAGAAAGTCTTCGTATGATGAGCCCTAAAGAAGAAGCATCGGAGATGGAGTGGGAACAGAAAGATCCTCTAGATGAATCAGGCACTCTCGTCGCTACCCCACCAAATTCACAAGACCCAAGCGATAACTCTTCGCTGTACAGAGAGCGCGTGGCGACTGCCGCTTCAACGATTCAGCGTGCATGGCGACAGTCGCGCGCCCCCTCTAATGGATGCGCAACGCTACAAGACTACAAAGACAAAATTACCATCATCCAAAAGGCTTGGCGCCAGACAAAGCAGAAACGCAGTAATACCACCGTCTCGGCCCTTGTCAGTGACGGACTGCGACACTGGCCGCAAGCTACTCTTGGTTACCCAACACCTGAGCCAGAGATACAGAGTAGGACGGTAAATTCGAGTGAGAGCTACGTCACTTCGTCTATACAGATCGAGACCGATATAGAGCCGACCCCTCGACCGAAGCTACGTCTCTTCCCAGTCAAATTCACACCTGAGATCGTGGAAGAATGGCACTCATCCATGTTGCCCCGCCTTGAGCGTCTAATAGAACGGGCGCTCAAGGATTCTGAAGAGACTGTTAGCATTGACCTCGTCGCCATCGGAGAAGTACTAGAGAAAGCCAAGCCTACTGTGTTTGTTACCTGTACTAGTGTGGCAAAGGTCAAGGCCATTCTCAGCCGTCGCTTCCGCTTTGACGAGAATATGTATGACCTCAAGGTCCGTAGGGGAAAGATCAGGCGGTCCAAGATGAGCCGTTCGTCGCGCCGAACTAGGCCACCGCATCGATCCATGATGAATACCGACTCCTACGATGCGGACATGGCTGTGATGAACCCTTACCATCAGGATCGCCCATTATGCGGGGCTTCCATTGGAGCGTTCAACGGTGAACATCTGCCTCCGGTATCCTATGGTGGGGTCATTCTGGTTGACGATGAGCCATTGGGCATGAGTGTCCATCACCTACTCGACATACCGTCCGAAGACGAAGACGACGTTGGCGAAGAGCCCGATAGCCCTTCTCCGAGCGATGTGATGCTGTCCAGCGCAGCGAACAACCCTTGGTTAATGGGTATGGGTGCGCAACCAGATCTTCATCTAGAATCGGATGAGCCCGCTGGAATGTGGGATCTTGAACTATCAGACGATGAGGACATAAAGAGCGAGGAAGACGACGCTGACCTTGATTCGTTCGACTTCTCTGACAGTGAGCTTGAGTCTGACGATGACTCTGCGGAGGGTATGCCGATCCGACACTGCACACAAGTTACAAGCGCTAATCCCATTTCAGATATGGCAGATTCTCATATTTCACACGCAACCATGGGCGACATTGACGGCATTGCGCCAGGCGAAGGCGAGGAGATAAAGATCACACAACCAGCCATCGATGACGTGGGCGCTGACTTCTTCCCCTGCGAAGAAGATCGCGACGACGACCATCTCTCCTCGCACGAACTAGGCCACGTTCACGCCTCTTCCGGCATCCGCCGGTGGAAGCGCGACGGCATCCTCCACGAAATCGACTGGGCGCTCCTCAAGCTCAGGGAAGACCGCCTCCAGCCATATAACGTTTGCCAAGGAGGTCGCCGCTTCTGCCTGGGCTCCATGACGCCGGAACAACGCGCCATAGCCTCCAAGCTGGAGAAGCCAGTCAACCGCCGCACTTACACCCCCGAAGAGGACGAATACCCCAACGGCGTAGCCCCCGCATCCACCCTCGGTGGCATGTCCGTACACTGCTTCGGCCGCACCACCGGCCTCCAACCGGGCATGGTCAGCAGCGTCATGTCCGCCGTCCGCATCTACCACCGCAAATCCTTCTCCCGCTCGTGGCACGTCGCTGGCGGCTTCGGCATCGGCGGCGACAGCGGAGCCTGGGTCGTACAAAACGGTCATCACAAAGTCGTCGGCCACGTGCTTGCCTTTTGCCAAAAGAACAAGATCGCTTATATCTGTCCCATGGAAATTCTTCTTGAAGATATTAAGCGTACCCTAGGCGCCAAGCGCATCTACCTCCCTGGCTCTGTAGAGCAGACCCTGTACAAAGCTAAGAAGGCGAGGCACCACGATGTTATCGAAGACCTGGGGTCGCGGGTGCAGGGTCTAGGTATAATAGACTCTGCGGTCGATGTTAGGGAGAGTCTCAGTTCGGGACCGCCGGGCAATGGTGGTCTCTGGGAGAGACTGGAGAGAGGTGGGGATAGTGATAAGGAGAATACGAGGTCGGCTATGCGGAGCAGTATTATGCGTGTCAACGAGGGCAGAGATGGGGGTTTGGAAATGAGTGTCAAGTAGGAGTAAACGGATGACTTTGGTTAGGCGTTCAGGAGGACGGTATGGGAAGGGGGAGGTTATACCCTGTTGTTTTATTGATGTTCGTTTGAATCAGAAGACCTATCGATCTACTCATGTCGAAGTTTACAACCTCAGCACCAACGCTGAACAGATCCTCAACTCCAGACCCTGCCTCCAATGTCCTTGCACAAAGTCTTAACATCCTCTCCTTTACCTAATCTTGCCCAATACTCTTCTATCTCAGCCGGATAGCCCGTCTCATTGAACGGCCTCGTCCACTCACTCGCCTTACTCCGCGCTATACCGCCCCAGTAAGCCATCCTCTCCGGCCGCTTCCCGTCTCGATTTGAAGCGAAGTGGATGAGTAGAGATCCAGGACGGGCTAGTGATGGTTTGCCAGGCTTGTCTGGATTTGGTGGGAAGCCATTGAACCACCTTTGGGGCACGTAGGCAACGGCGGAAGAGAAGTATGGCTGTGAGTCGCACGATGATTAGTTGATACAGTAAGTAAAACGTGAATGAGGTTTCCACCTACACGTCTCATAGTCTCTTCCATAGCACTTTGCTCACTATACTTCAACTGTATATCAGGATTATACTCCTTCAGGCTCAATGCTGCCGAGAAGAGACGGATCGCCCACTCATTTACTCTGATGAGGAAGACGCCGTTGTTCAGACCATGCCGATCATTCGTCACCACCAAATTGATCTTTTCATCTGGGGGCAAGAAGGCTTGCAACGGAACATTAGGATTCATCAAGATGGTGTCGCGATCATGCCAGAAAAGCCACTCCAGTCGTTCCGCAGCTGGCTTGGCAAGTTCGGCTCCAAGAATCGCGAGCAGGAAGGCATGTTTGGACCAAAGACCAGGCAGCATGCGCTCGCGAAGTATGAACTCGGGGTACCCGTGGAGGTCATTGTGAACCTGGTGAGAAGCGATGGCGGCTTCGTAGACGGGATCTTCCGGCCCGAATGAGGCCGTTACTTTGCCGATGCGTGGGGAAGACTGTGATGACAGCGCGGGTGCAGACGAGGCCGGAACGGAACCAAGATGCGGGACATGTGTTGGTAGGATTTTGCTCGAAACCGATGAATTTGTCGAGAAGAAGACAATAGCAGCGAAGCCTAGAATAAGCAATGTGGCGTATTTCCAGAATCGAGAAGAGGCTCTTGGAAGAGAATACCGCGAACACGGGGCTTGGTTGTCGTCAGACCATACGCTGGATATGGAACTGCGCCTGCTTTCGCTCATGGTGAGTGCGCGTTGGTGAGTAGCGCAAAAGCGGGATGACTGTGGTTAAGAGGGGAGGAGAGCGTCATATGGGATTGGCTGAATGCATCGATGAGGAAGTGGCTGAGGGAACAGACACGTGTTGGCGATCTTGGATCTCGAGATTGAATTGGAATCTTGGAGTTTGACGATTTCGAGAGATGTCATGGTTAAGGTGGCTGCTACTGCCAGGGCAGACTCGTGGACGCCTGACATGATGCCAATCGCGCCTAGCGGAGGTTTCGCCGACTGCGCCTCCAGCTAATGCAGCTAAGTGCTTATGCTGGCGTCGCTGCAAAATGAAACGCGTACGTATGTCAACGCCTTTAGCTATTGAGTATGCGTAGGCTTGGAGGCTAGGAGCACATATCACGATGGAGCACGCGCGGATTTTGATAGTTATTGGTTTGTAGCAGCCATCCGGCTATGGAGGGTAAGTAGCCGGCAGGGAAGCTGAGCAGCGGAACGGGAACGCGGTAATTCGGTATGGCATTGTTGTAGGCAGTGGCAAGCTGAGTGAAAGCGGGAGCATCGTTTGACGGAGGTGTTGATGCTGCTTGCGTCGAGGCAACGTACGGCTGTCACTGCCTGCTGCAGCGGTTCTGCCAAGCCGCTAATGGTGTCTGATCTCTAAACACTGCAAGACACCGTCTGAAACCCCAGCCTCATGGCATGTCAACATCGCCAAGCCCATCAGAGCGAATAACATTTAGCTATGTGTCGCGTCTCTTTCCGTGTCAAAATTGCTTCCGGAGCCGGCAACGAGGAGATACAATCGGTAGAGCACACAATCGGCTGACCGTCTTTGGTTGATGATTCTTTACTCATTGATCTTGACCCGTCCTATCGACTCACCCCTTCAGCTTCGGAAGACGGGCTCGATATGGTCAAAAAAAAGGGACAGCAGGTAGCACCAAGTCCCATTGCGCTTGCGGAAAAGATCAAGGACATCTCAAGCCTCCTAGTATGTTGATCGTATTATCAAAGGACTCTACATGACATGCGGAGTCGGACATCTGGAAGAGTGGATGGGCAGTGAACGCTCGCTCCGACGGGTTGCAGCCGATGGAGCCTGGCATGACTTGTCTTCAACATGCTGATCATCAACAGTCAACAAAGATGCCCTTTCGACTTGCCTAGCTGGTTCGAACATGACCAAGCGCCTCCGTTGCGATACGTTCGACACTGACTTTGCCTTGGTCCTTGGCTCCTTCGAGGCTGTCAGATACAGTAGCTGATAGTCTCTTGTTGTCAATCGCAGGTGGTTTGCAAGTCTCGCGCAGCTCGCTACACGGTCAAGGTGTGCAGCAATCCTGACAGACGGAGCTGATACTAAACATGGTGGATACGAAGAGAGCTTGGGGAGCGGGCTTGAATGACAGTGTAGTCCATTGAGGCCGATTGGGAGCTGCGAGAGAATTGGTAGGGTAAATGGGGAAGACTTTACTGCTGACCAGAGTAACACCGAGAACATATGCGACGTCTGTACGAGGACATCCTGCACTTGGGGCTTTCATCCAGGCTTCCTTCGTCGAACGTGTCTCGGTCGTAACCTCAATTCTACTGTCACAACTGCGTCGACCCGTTGAGCTTGCATCTGCATGTCTATGAAGCTTTCATAGTGTAGTGGATCAAGTACGTGCTTCAGGGCCCACTTTGCGACGTCTTCAAAGCTTCGCGTGGCTGGTCTGATATCTCCGTGTACGGATGGTTGGGCGCTATTTCGACCAAAGAGGAAGCGCTAGTGCGAGTGCAGATGTGGCGCAGCCCCTGAAATGGTCTGTTCTTTGGCGAACACCACGAACATATGGGTCATGAACAGTCGGGCAGAATGCAAGAACAGCGTACGGCATATCTATGCGTTCCTTCAACGGCCCCTGGTATGGTGAGGTCAGAAACAGATGAGGTACTCTCGAGAGGCGTGTATGGGCTCATCCGCGGCAAGGTTTGCTTCACTATTCATATTCTGATGCACTCTTCTTCCGTGAGCTGACTATACTGCTCAACGGCTTACACGAGCTTCGCTCTGACGGTCAATGATCAGCCAAACTGAACGTGCGTCAAGAGGACGGGATCTTTTCGGAAACCACGCTATTGGACACGCAATGGCCACAAGGTCTAGAATGAAGTGTTAAAATAGACACAGGGATCTTATTGGATACTGGAAGCACATTCACCATTCTTACCTTAAACGCCTACAGACAAGCTCACCTTTGACAGCGTATGCCGGGGTATCAAGCTTTCTGCCAAGTCGGGAAAGGCCCACTCAAACAGTACCCTTACTCCTCCTCCCGGTTCGCCGTTGAGGGGTTCAGCATGCATAAAAGTGCGTTTGAAAACTCGGTGAGCGAACTTCTAGTAAGGCAGAGTCTCACAAGTGTCAACTAGAGGACTTCTGCATGACTGCGTTCAAGATTTCGACAATGCCCTTCCTTTCAGACTACGTGCAGCTCACGATAGATCGGCCCATATGGTACTGTATAACTCCGACGCTTGTACTTCGTATCCGTATGTACATTTGGGTCGACCTCTAACGAACGGTATGCTCATGCATTGCGCACGTGTCGCATTCTAGAGCTCAACACCCTCGGATTCAGGGTACCAAGTAAGCAAGCGAGCGGCAGACTCTACCGTCCCAGTATCTCAGGGGCGTGTATCTCTCAGACCAATCTACCCACTGGGTGAGTATATATGGACGACGGTGTCTCGCAGTCCATATACTCATCCACATCTTCTCTCTAATCATCAACACCTCTTTCCTACACTCTTTTTTCTTATATTATCTCACCCCGGTCATTCGTTATACACGATCTTATTACATCTAATACCTAATTTTAACAACACTCATCATCACCATGAAGTACGCACTCATCTTCGTTGCCACTGCCGCTGCCCACGAGGCCTACGGTGGATACGGTGCGCAAGCAGAGTCCAGCTCCGTCGTCAAGCCGAGCACCTCCGCGAAGCCCATCGGATACACGACTATCGTGCCCGGCTATGGCAAGCAGCCGGTCACCGTGACCACTCAACATCAGCCGTACCCCACCTGCGTGTCCCCCGCCTATGGTGGTAAGGACTGCGCCAAGTGGGATGAGGATGCCTACGTATCAACTGTCATCAAGGACTACGACAACAACTACGCTACGATCACCAAGACCGCGCAGCCCGTTGTTGTTTACCACACCAAGAAGACCATCACCCACTCCGCTACTGCAACAGGCGGCTACGCGGCGCCCACTGGTCTGGCCCCTAAGAACGGCACTGACGGCTGCTGGTACGAGCTGTACGAGAAGATTGAGTCGGTCCCATACAACCAACTCGGTCCTCACGCACTTCCCGGATACCCCGGTTCCGGCCTTTACAAGGAGGGCGAGCAGAAGCAACCCGTCAACGTCAAGGAGTACAAGGGCGGAAAGTGGTCCGAGTACGTCCACGAGTACTCTTACGGCACTCCTAAGCCTGAGGTCACCACTTACGAGAAGCCTGGCGTCTACACTGTCCCAAGCAAGGACGTCACCGTTGAGCACCCCGTCACTTACCCAGCTGAGGCCACAAAGACTGCGAAGGCTGGCGAGACATGCACCTACGGAGGCCAGTACATCGAAGCCAAGCAGACTGGCTACATCACGGGCGCTTACGGTGCCTACGAGACAAAGGTCAACGGTGGCAAGACTGTCACCGAGACAGTGATCAAGCACACCACAATCTATGCCTCCACCACCGGCAACTACGAGGTCGCGAAGCCCACCACCACCGTCTACGACCACGACACCGAGGTCGCATACCCCACCGCTAAGCACTACGAGGCGGGTGTCTACCACCATGAAGCTCAGACTGTCACCATCACCAAGCCTGGACAAGCCTATACTTGCGAGTACGAGCAGACCAAGAAGCACGAGGCTACCTCAGCACCTGCGAAGAGCAGCGGTCATGCAGCCTACCCTACCTCCGCCTCCGCTCCCGCTCACGACAACTCTTACGGCCACAACAAGCCATCTGCTACTCCCAAGCAGCCTACTGAGGGTGACAACAAGTACCCCTCGTACCCCGCCGGTCCCATGAACGGACACTCATCTTCAGTCCACGAGGCATACCCAGCTTCCACTCCTTCTTACCCCAAGAAGCCTACTGAGGGTGAGAACAACTACCCCTCTTACCCTGCCGGTCCAGCCAAGGGTCACTCCTCATCTTCGGTTCAGGAGTCTTACCCAGCTTCAACTCCTGCCGGTGTCTACTCCAAGCCATCCTACAACGGCGGCAACGCTTATGGCAACAACGGAAAGTCTACCATGACCACCGTCTCCACCAAGGAGTACCCACACCCGGAGTCCACCCCTGCTTACGGCACTGATTCATCAGTGATGGCCAGCTCCACGCCCTGCGAGAGCAGCACTGCTTCCGTTACCCCTGCTTCATCGTCCGTCTACAGCGCTTCTACCCCCGCTGCTGTCTACTCCAAGCCCTCATACAACGGCAACAACGGCTACGGCGAGAACGTCAAGTCGACTCTCTCCACCATCTCTACCAAGCCTTACCCTGCGTCCACTCCTGTAGAGCACTACCCCGCGAGCGCCAGTTCTACTCCTTGCGAGAGCAGCACCGCATCCGTCACACCCGCCAGCTCATCCGTCTACAGCGCCCCGGTCTACAGCCAGGCTACCCCCAGCCCAGCCGAGTCTTCGTCCACCAGCACTGAGGTCTACAGCCAGGCTTCCTCAACTCCTTGCTCTTCCTCTGTGCAGTCGACCCCGACTCCCGTCCAACCGACTTCCACTCCTGTCTACGAGAACGCATACCCCGCTGGCGCCACCTCCACCCCTTGCGAGAGCGACAAGCCTTCCGCTACTCCTGTTGTTCCTGCCGCATACACCCCTGCCCCTGCTGAGAGCTACGGTAACACCCAGACTGGCTACTCCAGGCGTAGTGGAATGAGCCAGCGCCGCGCTGCGCAGTAAATTCCTGTTCTTCTATAAATAATTTCATTGTGTTAAAGATGTATCGAGAAGTAGTTAGAGGGGGATGATCGAGTCAGTAGATGTGTATGTAGGATTCAATGAGAAGTCTTGTATCAAATTACCTAGTGTCTGTGTATGGGATATGCGCTGGTTCCAATGTGGTTGAGCTGAGAAAGTGGGGACTCATTGGTTGTTGACGTCCACTTGTTGGTTGTTCCCTTCAAAGATCCCACATCAGACTTTAGAACGGCTGCTAATCTGAACGATACACGGAACTATTGACAAGACAAGACTTCGCGAGCGGGAATTGGTGTTGCATGAAGTGGGGCGTTTAGCAAATGGAGAAAGCTGGGACGAAGCGAGAGCGGGGTTCAATTGCAGCTTCCAGCAATGCGATGTTCGATGTATCGAGACGCATCACTCATGAGTCTTGAAAGTGCCGCTAGGAATATATATATCAAATTTGGTCGATTCTCCATCAAGCATTCTTGGTCCAACGGTAGGATAATTGCCTTCCAAGCAATTGGCCCGGGTTCGAGTACGTTCTATTCCACATCCCACCTCACCAACACATCACTAACATACAGCAGCTCCCGGAGGATGCACAGCTCCTTCTCACGATTGCAACGTTGACTACTTTTTTTGCGTTCTCGAATTCCCGATCGGCCTTTGCGCCATGACTGCAGAGGACCAACTTTTTTCTTGATAGTTTTAGTTATGAAACTCTATTGGGATATTCTAAAAGTGCTCTATAAAGTACCTTCAACCCGCTATCACCAAGTGTGTGCTACAGGCCTAGAGCTGGCTAAACTCTTGGGCGCGACACCACAGTGCGGGGTGCTGCCTTTGTTATCAAGCACCATCTCGCTTCTGACTTGTAGCTGATTAGGTAGCAACACAGGCCATTAAAGTGAAAAGGCCTAGAGCTATCGCTTGGTACTCGAGAGCTTGTTTTTTGACATGAGACATGCATATCAGTTCAGCTCGCATACTGGACTGATAACAAGTACGGTGCCGTCCTGGAGGACACACGGATTCCTGCGGGACTTTGCAGCTCCGTGTCAGTCCAACGCAACATTGCGTAACAGCTATTGATGATCTCGCTTTACTCCGACGTTACCAGCGTGCTGGATAGAGAAGTAGTAACTGGCACATTGATTGCACAGACAAGCTCCAAAGAGCGCGACCTAACCACTCTGGCGGGGACAAGCCTTCGCACCCCTCAAAACCGGTGACCCCAAAATCATGGTTCAGAGGCATATCATCTGCATTGATTGGCTTGCGGCTAGCCCTATATCGCCATCGGAGCCTCTGATGGTCTGGCTCTTCGGCTGGATGCGTTGGCTTTGCAGTGCACTGCGGGGCTTCAGACGCTCGCTCCGAAGTGGGGAGTCGGTGAGCTCACCTGAGGAACATGGCGAACTGGAGGCCCCGCCTGAAGTTTAAGGCGTCTGATTGGACGCCATGTTGCGAGATTGTAACAAGTCACCGACATCTTGATTGAGCTGCCATATGCGCCAAGTATGTGCTGAGGACACACATGAAAGGAAATGACGAGGATGTTTTGCGGCGTAGGTATTATATAGTGTGCTGACAGCCTGACCTTTGAGCCTCACACCTGGCCTCTGCAGTCATCCTTCGTCATCTTCGCCTGCGATACGCTGCTACTCTCATACGTAGAGACGAATACGACTCTACAAACATCTCTTGATCTATTTGTGAGGCTATCAACATGACTTCCCACAATCAGCCCATGCCGCCACCAATCCGGACAAACACTGTCGATTCGCAAAAGTCACGGTCGTCGTCGGGTCAAACATCTCCACCCTATTCTCCAGCATCACCCACGGCTCGCGCAACAGCTTCGCCAACCGAGGCGTCTTTCTTCGGTGCCATTTCAGCACGCATCCGCGGTCGCTCACGGAGTCGCTCTCGTGGAGCCACGTCTCGCAAACGCTCCAAGTCGCCCATGGTCATGCCACCCGAGCAAGCACCTTACTCACAAAGGCATGCTTCCGCTACAAGCCCTATCAGCCCGACACGACCAACTGCAGGACCTGTACAGGGTGACAGACCTAGCATACAGGCTGCAGGTCGGCGAAGCACAAGCGGAAGCGACCCATGGAAAGGACGGCATTCGAACGACTGGCTGTTCAACGGGTACTCGCTGACTGCTTCGGCAAAAGAGCTGGTTCAACGACGGAAGTAAGCAGTATGGTAGGCTGATAGTACTGCTGGCGGTACGACGCTCGCTGGCGGGTGTCTGGCAGCGTTTGACGAACGTTACGAAGGACGATAATGATATGGCTGAACGGAGTTGTTTCGACGTTAGCGGGTTTACTGGGAGGCGAGCAGGGCAACTGGGCAGATCGCGGTGTTGTTGTCGCTATCTTCACTCGTGTTCTTACTGTCATTACCTTGGTTGTACATTAGCTTTAAGCATGCGATTTGACGTGACCATACCGAACGCCATGTGTCGCATGCCGTGATGCCACGTTTGTCAGATGTGCTCGCATGCTAGAGTGGCGCGGCTCCACGTTGAGCCATATCAAACAACAGAGTCGTTCGATGCTAGCAAAGATGGTATGGCATGTCAGAGAGTTCGGAGTGGATTTGCGCAGCTCCTTTACATAATCAGCCCTACTGACTCGCGGCGTCTGCTCCGGTCCCGCACCTGCCATGCCATGTACCAGGTACCAAACGATCTCACCGCTGCAGTGAGTACCTTCATGTCTTCCTGTGCTCTGTGCTTCTGCGATACTCGCGACAAACACGCGAGGATGATATCGACAATTGATACGCGTCGTTCGGAATCCGCTCGTCGCCATGTCCTATCATCGGAGTAACGACATGATGCCCCAGGTAGCCTAATCTGCTGCATCGAACCCCGAAGGATGACCCACCACCCCTCAGTCACGCCGCCTTGAGGTTGATCAATCATTCGGTACAAATATACGCATTCCGAGCCCGGGGGAGTATCGTTCGTCACACCGCATCCGCTTGTCCTTCAGTGCTGGCACCTAACAGTTCACGTATTTAAGAGTTGATCGCAATCCGTCCCGAATCTCCAAACCTCCCTCCGCTGCCTTCCCCAATCCTCGAACCCACCATGAAGCACGAACGCGCCACGCTTCCGACACCTACATCGTCAGACTCTTTCTGGCACAGCGAGCCGAATGAGTTTCTACTGGGTCACTGTACGACAGAGGAATTGCCCGCCGAGGCTGACATCGTTATCGTGGGATCTGGTATAACCGGCGCAAGTGCTGCGAGATATCTTTCGGAAGACGAAAGGGCTGCTGGCAAGAGCGTTGTCCTGCTCGAGGCCCGAGAGGCATGCTGGGGCGCTACAGGAAGGGTAAGACGACCGCGTCTATTCTTCGTACTCAAGTCGAACAAAACATATGGCGCACACTTGCTGACGGTCGCGCAAACAGAACGGTGGTCACTGCCAACCTCTCCTCTTCGACCGAAGCAGCGACGTCGCTGAATTCGAACTCAAGAACGTCGCCGCAGTCAAGTCCTACATCCAAGATAATGGCGTCCCTTGCGAGTGGCGAGACGTTACCGGCTGCCGCACATTCTGGACTGAAGGAGCGATGAAGGAGGCTGAGAAGGAGATCGAGCATCTCCGGGAGATCGCTCCCGAGATCGCACGCCACGTCACCATTATCAAGGACAAGGAGGAGCTGAAGAAGCATCGCGTCTCGCCCGACTGTGTCGGAGCGACGCTGAGTGAAGGAGCTGCGAGTTTATGGCCATACAAGCTAGTCACATTTGTTCTCAAGAAGCTCATCAAGACTGGCCGGCTCAACCTACAGACTAAGACTCCCGTCACTGAGATTACCTCATCAGATGGTACGCACACCCTCCACACACCCCGCGGTACCATTAGCAGCAAGACCGTCATCCTCGCAACGAACGGTTACACATCAGCCATCTTACCTCACTTCGCCGATCTCATTGTGCCCTGTCGTGGGGAGATGTCAGCCCTTTTCCCACCTGAAGGATCGACCCTTCTCCCCGACTCGTACGGCATGGTTGGAGCTCTAGGTCAACCGGAGAACAACGACGACTATCTCATCCAGCGCCCATTCGAGGGCGTTCCAAATCCCAGTGGTCACTTGATGTTTGGTGGCGGCCGCGGAGCTGGAAACTTCCCAAGCATAGGCATCTCGGATGACAGCGTGATTGACGAAGGCTCCGCTGCATATCTCCGCGGTGCGCTGTTGAAGGTCTTGAATTTGGGAGGGCAAACCGAGGGCTTACATGAGCTTAAGGCTGCGGCACAGTGGACTGGCATCATGGGATATTCTCGTGACGACCACCCATGGGTGGGCAAGGTGCCCGATAGAGACGGCTTATGGCTGGCCGGCGGATACACAGGACACGGTATGCCAAATGGTACATTATGCGGCAAAGCAGTTGTCGACATGGTACTGGGCGAAAGCGACGGCAAGGACCTGACCGCCGTGCACGAGGAGATGGTTCAGAAGGGAGACATCCCCAAGAGCTACATCATGACAAAGGAGAGAATTGACCGGGCAAGGCAGATGCTTACGGTACAGCAACAAGATGCGCAGGGCGTACACATGAATGGCGTTGTATAGATCTCAATGACAATAGTATTTCGTTCTCTTCGCATTGGCGTACTCGTATTGCGATCGTTGAACTTGCTCATCTCATGATCTTGTGATATACGTGTAGAGCAATGCTGCCGGCCGTGGAGCCATCATCACTATGTTTGCAGCACAAAGATGGCCTTTAGATCAATCGGCGCGCGGATATTAGCGTCTAAGGCGTTCCTCCGCTTACAAGGTTCCCCACTGGAGTACCAAGCCCGGCCGATTACCAATACCCTACTTTCCATGATTGCGCTCCCACAAGGTCTCAAGTATACAGGCCTATATCAGCGTTAATCACGAATAGTCAACATACCCATACCACTACATCACTACCCGACCAACGTCTCATCTTCGTTGACAATTGCACCTGCCAATACGGTCCCCTACGCCAACCTTCAACATGCCAGCAAACTCACTCCCTTCGAAGTTCGGAGTCATCATCTTCCCCGGCTTCCACCTACTCGACTATGCCGGCCCCCTAGATGCCCTCAACATCCTCTCCGCCGACCACCCTCTCACGCTCTGCACCATAGCCGCAACACTAGACCCAGTGCCAACCCAGAACTCCATGCAAGACAAGCAAGGCTCCCAGTTCTCACAATCCATAGTCCCAACTCATACATTCGACAACGCACCGGATGATCTGGAGGTGCTGCTCCTCCCAGGTGGGCTGGGATCGAGGGGACCAGGGAGCGACAAGTGGATGAAGCCACAGGTCGAGTATCTCAAGAGATTGGATTTGAGCGGCAAGGGGAACATAAAGTGGGTTCTCACTGTTTGTACGGGTAGTGAGATTCTAGCTAGGACTGGCTTGTTAGACGGTAGGAGGGCTACGACTAACAAACGCGCGTTCGGCGATGTAAGTGAACTCACCTACTTGTTATCTCCTGAACTCACTTCGGACATGTTGCTTACGCTTCGCGAAGGTCAAAGCCAAGCACCCAAATGTCGAGTGGGTTGCAAAGGCTCGTTGGGTTGTGGACGGCAATATCTGGACTAGCTCTGGTATCTCGGCTGGAATTGATGTGACATTTGCGTGGATTGCGGAGGTATTTGGCGAGGAGGCGGCACAGTATGTGGCGGATCGGAGTGAGTATGAGAGAAATGTTGATGCGGGGAATGATCGGTATGCTGAGCGATGGGGAGCTGTGTAGTTAGGTAGAACGACATACGCATGAAGAATGAGGACGTGACTCTATGGGCATAGCATGCATCACCTTGCATAGTATCTCTGGGTAGTGAAGTTGTTCATCTCATGTGAAATTAGGAATCTTGTCTATAATAAATATCGCTATGCTGTAAAGGCTATCAAGGTCGTGACGCTAATATGATACGGAGTGACCGCTGCAACAGACGCAAACATCTATACATCTAAGGCTGTCGACGAAGAAGGAAAAGGCTACTTGCGGTTGCGGAAAGCAGCGAAAGGAGGGAAGAAGTACGCAGGGTGGAAGCACGTCAGCACCGTGCAAGCGATAGCCAACATCCTGAATAATATTAGTATAAAGTCTTTGCGGTAAGGATTTGGACCAGTGAAACTTACATTCCATCGAGGAGCAAGAACTCCTTCTCATTCCTCATGAGCGAGTTTCCCCATCCACCAGCCATCTCGGGCAAGCGGTAGATACACCTGATAAGCACAGTCGTGTACGCGAGGACGATCATCCAGCCAAACAGCTTAATCTTAGCCAGGCGCACAGTTCCCGTCTCCTTATCCATTTCATACGAGCTCTTCTCGCCCATAGCCTGCTGGTTTCTCGCCTTGCGGTACCGGAACACGTAGACGACGACAAGAGCGCCACACACCGCCATGGTGACGACCTGGAACGCGATACCGGCGACAATCAGGTTGTTACCCGCGTCGATGAGCGCCTTGTTCGTTGTGCCACCCGCGGCCGCCATACCACCACCGCAAGCTTGGAGAACGATAGAACCGAAATCGCAGCCAATGAAGATCCAAGGGTAAAGACGCGGCTTGAGCAGCGAATGCTGAGGTCCACAGTACAAGACAAAGTGCTTGAGCGTGAGGTAAATCGCAGCAGCAACGAAACTCGGGCCCAGAACCAAGCAGCAAATCTGCAATTTGAATCCAGACTCGCTCCATGGGTTGTCATTCATGATGACACGGCCCGCATATCCCGCTGCTTCGAGGAAGGTTCCGACGGCCAGTGCGGCAGTGTAGGTCCATGTGCGGCTCAGAACACCCACGACGAGCGTGCCGATGCAGAGGATACCGAAGAGGGCGCAGAGGAAGGCGTTGGCGCCTAGATTAGGGCGATACCCGTAGAGCGTTGCGAAGACGGGGCATTCGGGGCTGACTTCGAGACATTGACGGAAGTTTCCTTTGGGCCGGTCTTCTTGTGCGGATACGACGACGAGGAGTTGCGTTGCTAGGGCCAAGGCGGCGATGAGGCCGGTTCGTGCGTGGGAACGCATGGGGGGCGAATGTGCAGGGACGGAGAATGCAGACAACGATAGACGACGAACGAAGATGTGGGATTACCAGAACGTCACTCTACAAAAGAAGAGCAAAGATCCAACACGAACGGAAACGCGGGCGAACAACGTGGGTAGGTGGACTAATTAATCCCAGCAGCCAGCGCCCTCGCACTCGCAACAGCCTAGCCCTTTATCATGCACGTAGTATACCCACCGACCGTATACACCGTGTTTGTGCTGCCAGACGGCGCCTCTAATCTCTTTTGCCTCGCTAGAACGGAGAAGGCTCTAAGCGACGCAAGTCTTGCCGTGCTTGACCGCGCGCCATTGGCTCAAGGCCGCGGCTCCACCCAAAGTCATTGACGCTCACGCCTTGGCCTCGTCCGATGCATCTAAGCGAGGGCGTGTCGCGACCCGGCGGATGGGTCGTGTTGCGACGTCTTGTACCCGCGGACGCCGTTTCACCGTTTTCGACCGCACGTGGTGCGATAAGGATGGGGGCTCTGCCTTCCGTTTGCGGTGGCGGGGTGCGAGGCTTTCGCTGCTGCCTTCATTCTCTATCACATGGAAGGAAGGCCTGTGGATGATGGGGGGGCTAGTGGCTTTGGGGGTGTGGCGTCGTTCGGCTTTGGTTGTCGGGCTGCCGTCTTCCCGGTGGTTTCTTCGTCTATCATCTGTTTTTCGTTTCGGCTGGCGAGGCTTCCGTCTCTAGTGTTTTGGAGGCGAATACTCGATGCTGTTTGGTTCTTGGGGCGAGACTTTTTTGCACGCGCACGCGCATGACGGGCGTATGCTTACAGTGTGTAGGTGGTCTCTATGATGAGTGGTTGCGTGACAGATGACATGTAGTTGCTTACTGGTAGATTGCGCTAGCCGACTTGGCTTTCATGACCGTTGCTTCCACATGCGTACTCAACGGTCGCTTTCTTCCTCACCAATCATTATTCTTGGTCGGATTCGCGGGGCTTATGGCTTCCGCTAGTCTTCAATGCAACATATACGATGGATGTTACCGATCGAATTCGTGATTCATATCAATACTACGCCTTCAAACTCCGCCCAATGCAAACCCGCTTTCAGTAAAGCACCCAAACTCCCAATAATGCCAGAAGTCAATATCTTCAGCCTGCCACATCCTCAACCCTAACCCACCGCTCCTCCAAAGCAAGAACCACCAACTCCTTTACGCTACCCAGACTCTCCTCTCTGCCCAGCGCGACAGGACACAGTAGTTCGCTGACATTCTGCAACACCTTATACATTCTCATAGCCTTCTTCTCCACTTTCTTCTTATCCACCTCGCCATGTTTAGAAAGGACAGGACGAGAAGAAACGTGGTGTGGTGCGGAAGAGAGAGCAGCGAGGTGGTTGAGCAATTTATGCAGGAGGAAATGCATCCATACGAGGTTTGTCTTGGGGTGGAAATCGCGCCAGACGTCTTCTTCGGACTCCTCTGTCGTTGGTATCGGTGCAACGTCTGGTACCGTTTCCTCACTGTGTTTCCTGGGCGATCGCCGAGGCATTTGTGGTTCGTCATCGCCCGAGTCGAAGCGAATGTGGGTGTTCTTCCTAGGTGAGCGGCGGGGTGTGACTGGGGCTTGCTCTGGCTCTTCCTCTTCCACATGTTCCTCTTGCGGTATATCCAACGGCTCGTATTGCAACGGATTGTCGAAGAGTGCTGCGCCACGCATATAGCGGTAGATCTCATATTGGTACTCTTCACTTGCATCGCCTTCGAAGAGCGCGGGGTCTTTGTTGAGATCCAGATAAGCAACGTCGACCATCTCCTCACTCGCAGATGCGGCTGTGGAACTGGAAACATGAGACATAACAGACGTCCTGCGGGATCGGGATAATGAGGCGAGGATATCTGCACGTGACAAGGTGTAATCGATGACAGTCGTATCGAGGCCGGTAAAGCGGAGTTTGCGTCGCAAAGGGTCTTTGATCGAGGGCTGCAGCACGTCTCCACCTGAACGTGAAGACCGAACGCAGATGTTGCCCAGATGCAAGTCGCGGTGCTCGAATTGGCACGCCTCTTCTGCCTTGCCTACGCTGATTGCTACCCCCCAGAAGACGTCCCAAGCTTCCCATATTGACGACATGCCACCTGTTTCCATGATCTTCTCGACGTCCGTACCAGCGTCTTGCATCTCTACTACAGCCCAGAGCTGGTACTCGTCGTAACTGGTCTTCTTGCTGGGATCGGGGAATTCACTCTTCTTTCCGCGTGGCCGCGCCTTGTTCCATTCCTTCCACGCATCGTTGAAAGACGCTGAAGGTCTCCCCTGCACAATCGTGAGGTCGCGGAAGACGGTGAATCCAGGTATGTGGATGAGATTTTGAAGGAGCTTAACCTCAGAAGCAACATCATCAACCTGTGACTTGTACGCGTCGTCCTGTTCACGCTGCTCCATCTCTTTTTCTAACTGCGCTTCGCGATCTCGAACCGCACGAGTGTGTAGCTGGCTTGGTAGGGGAACAGCTGGTGGTGTCTTGAGCGCTACGAGTTTGAGCACCGACTCCTCCTTGAGACCATTCGCAGGTGATATCGCAGATAACCGATATACCTCTGAGAACGAGGCCTCTGCAATCTTGGTAACTTGGAAGTGCGGCTCCAGCTCGTCTGACCACTCCTGGAACCCTATAAGCTTCTTTCTATCGCTGAGCGCCAGTAGTGGCGAAGCATAGGCGGTGTATATGTCTTCAGGTTCAGGTGTCGGCTCGGGCGTAGGAAGGCATGCTGCCTGTTGCGTCGAGGCTAGTTTTGAACGAGCTGAATCCGTGGGCACTGGAGGCTTTGCAGGTGTAGCTACTATATCCTGGGCGACGATAGTAGGAACCACGCGTTTCTTCTCTTTCTTCGGTTTCGGGATCGATCGAGCCAGTTCGTCAACGTTGTGTGAGGCATTGTGTAAGGCGTTGATGTTGCGATCGCTCAGCACCTTTCGCGGTCGACGTGGCTCTTTGAGCATATTGACTCCATCCTCCTTGGGGCCCTTGATAGATAGAGCCTGCATGCTCTCGTCCAGTGCATCTTCGAATGGGACGACATTCTCCTTTGTGGTATCCTCGTTGCGCCCAGGCTTCGTTTTGCGTGACCGCGATCGTTTCCTTAACGTACCCTCATCTTCCACAGGTGATGTTTTCTCTATCCGTAGTTTGCTCAATCCTTGCTCCAATACTGACACATCGTCTCTTTCTGGTTCTGTTTGTCGCCGGAGGTCACGTGTCGGGCCGCTAACCGCAATTTCCTCCTCGTTCTCTCTGTGCGCAACTCCTTTCTCTGGTGACAAGAACGTTGTGAACGCAGTCCGCCCTCCATTCCTCTTCTTTCCGTATACAACTTTTGCGGGCATCTTCGAGGGCCTGAGCGAATGGTGTAGTCGGTTGTCGATTCGTTGAGGCTCGATGGAGGTGCCAGGGTTTGGAGGGGTCTCCACGACGGAAAGTTTAAGCGAGGCGTTTCCACGGCAACAACCCAACGCGTGGGCGAGACTTCCTGAATCACGACATGTCAGGGGTCATCATGCGCTCGAAGGATGACGTAGTTCGTCAAATCAAGCGTTTCACTCGGATCAAGACCAGTAGTAATAGCACGGCAGCGACAGTTTAGAGAACCCCGCAAACGATTCCGCAGGATTAAAATTAAAATCAACAGGTACTCTGTGATGTTACAGAGGCCTCCTAGCACCTCCCAATGCGATATCAAATGAACGCTCTTCCAATTGAGCGTCTAAATCGTGTACATGTAAAGTGAGAGTCCAATCTCCCTTCTAGACCCAGAAGCAGATTGCACGAAGAAGTTGCCCAAGTGACCGGCAGACGGGCAGAAACTGGGTAATGGGACTAAACGCTGGAGACAACAAGGCGAGGGTACTAGGCAATCGGACAAAAAAAGAAACATGGTCCTTGAAAAGCGTTGGAAGGGCCTGAGGATGTGATGTTGAAACAATTTGCAGCCAAGTGAATTTTGGTGATTGATAGGTGAGTGGTTTCGGGGATCGAGGAACGACGGAGCTCAGTTGTCGCCACTGTCAACTTCAGCTGGCGGTGTCTCAGCTTCCTCTTGCAGTATGGGTTGCGGTATGACACCGAGACTCTTGCGTTTACTCTTTCTCTCTGAGTCTCCGTCTTTCTTTATGCCATTTGTCTCGGAGGACGCAGAAGTAGGGCTCAGAGTGCTGCTCGATTTCTTGTTCGGGGCCATGCTCGAGTAGCCTACGGTGAGTTTGGATGTGCTGTCGTTGTTCTCGGACTTGTCGGCAAAGTCTTTCCACTTGCGCCAACCGTCAAAGTCGATGAGCGCTTGCATGCAGCCCCACTCCTTGACTTTGCGTTCAAGCCAGACAAAGTTGACGGGCTATGACATGTGTTAGTATGAATCTATTGATACAGGACATGAGTCCTTACCTTGGTCAAAAAGTCGTTGCAGCCAGCCGCCAGAGCCTCGTGTCTGTCGCTCTGCAGCGAACTGGCTGTAAGCGCGACGATAATGACGGGGCTCTTGAACATGCCCTTGTCACCGAGGCGGTCATCCTCACTCAGCTCGTCTTTGCCGTTGCCCTCTGATCCAAGTCTATTGTTAGGGGCCTCACTACTGCCACTGCTGAAGACGCCGATACTGTTGACACGCTCCAACCGTCGAATCTCCTTGGTTGCCTCCAGACCGTTCATGACTGGCAGCTGAATATCCATGAGTACCAGATGGAACCCGCCGGCCTTCCACTTGGTGACTGCCTCTTTTCCGTTCATTGCACGCTGCCACCTGACCTTCAGACGCTGCATGAAAGCACCCAAAACTCGCAAGTTAATGATGTTGTCTTCTACAATCAACACATTGATGGGCGGCACTGAGCCATCCAAAAGACCGGCTGGCAAACTCGGTGCTTCCACCGGCGGCTTTGGTCTCCGCTTTTTCTTATTGTTCGGTTGGGGCGATGATATGCGCGGGGTGGGCGGAGTCGACTCATGGAGGGTTTGTGAGTGAGAGATGGGGTCGGCTGAAGCGGGCGGGGTGGGTATCGCGTTGTTCGAGGCGGCAGAGTTCTTTGCTTCGGAGGCGGAGGAGTCATGGCGCGGCCGGTTTGGAGGGCGGACAGACGTGGCAGAGGAGGGGATGCCGCCGCCGAGGGTGGTTGGCGAGGCTGTGTGTGTTCTAGGGTATTTCGGTCGATGGGCATGCAGCGGCCCTCGTCTGGTACCGCCGGGTGAGGGCAGTGCAGGCAACTGTCCGGTGTTGAGCACAGCTATCGAGTGGGGCGCATGAGGCAGGGGCATGCGGGCCTCATGCGGCTGGCCCGAGGCAGCGGGAGAAGGAGCGACGACGGGCATGGGCGGAAAGTACTCGGTCTGTGGGTGGACGCCATCTTCGTGGTGGTAGTAGAAGGGCACGCGTGGTGAGGGCTTGGGGGTCCTCCGTTGGGGCACGTCGATGATGAGGGCCTCGGTCACGTTCTGGCCGCCGGGGAAGTACGCATCCAGGGTGCGACACATGTCCTCCTCGGGGCCCAGTGTGCGGTCTCCTCCCCGCTGGTTGTCGCGCGGGATGATGCGCAGCGTGACGTCGGGCGAGTCGAAGCTCCTTCCCAGCGAATTGGCGTACTTTTTGAGAATCATCTCGCGGACGTCGTCGACCAGGTCGTCCTCGCGGATCTGCACCAGCGTGGCCGAGGCGCTGGGCCGCTTGACCCAGATCTTGCGGTGCAGCATGCCAGCGCTGAAGTTGGCGGGTGCTCCGCCAAAGTAGTCGGCGACGGTGGGCGGGCCGGTCTGGATGGCAGCCTGGGGGATGTCGGGGACGAGCAGCTTCTTGATTATCTGGGCATCGGTCTTGTTGACGACGGACTGGCGGCGGACGAGCGCGGGCGATGGGTTGTGCGAGGTGTCGTTGCTGCTGGCGGGGACAGGCTCGGTGGTGGTGTGGTCGCTCGGGGCGGAAGAAAGCGACGATGGCTCGGCGCGGTTGAGCTCGGCAGGCTGCTGCACTACGGGGTGGAGAGGCGTGGGCGCCTCGAGAGTCACCTCTGGCAGGACGACAGGCACGTCGGCAGAGGGCTGGCGCTGGTGGTGGCTTGCGGTGCTCGCGATGCTCGTGCAGGTCGAGTGTCGATCTCGCGAGGTGTTCAGGCTGCCAGTGCTGCCGTTGCCGTCGGCCTGACTGTCGGCGGCCACTCCAAGCACATCCGACCTGACCATGCGCGGATCAGCTGTCTTGTCGTCGGGAGTCTCCGCGCCAGACACCTCGGGCAGCTGCTGCAGCGAGATGCTCTTGCGGAGGGAGCTGGTCGGCGGCAGGCGCGCATGCCTCTCGCTGCCATGCGAGGAAGTGAGTGAGCGTGCACTGCTCGACGTCGCGCTGCTGCGTCTCAACAACTTGGACCGCGCATTCTGCAGCCGCGTCTTGATACTGCTCATGCCAGCAACCAGCCGGAGGCGCCCAGCATGCAGTTTGGAGATGCGCTGCGAGGCCGTCGTGGTGCGGGCGTTGGGTAAATAAATGGCGGCCTGGCTGCTAACGAAGCTATGGGGTGCGCTTGGCCTGGCTATCCATCACTCGCCGGTAATCCAAGAGGGTCGTGATGCGGCGGGCACACCAGAAAGAATAGACAACTACGATTAGAACAAGAAGGAAAGGGGCATGGATCGATTACTACAAGACACGAAAAGGAAATGCGTCGTGTTGTGCTTCTTGCAAGCAAGTATTACCATGTTAATCTCAAAGCGCGCTTGGGCCTTGGAAAGAGGAGCGCATTCTCCATGCCCCCTCTCACTTATGCCGCCCAACTTCCAGGCCTGCCACCGGACTGTCTGCCCAGTCTGCCTACGTAGTTATCATGCCATCAAGGCCCTGAAGTGTCCAAGACGTGTTTGAACCCAATGGCAGCAGCGTCGTGCATCACAGCTGAGCGCCTGAACTCTGCTTCACAGGCTACCCCAGCGCGTTCATCGCCAGCTCATCTCCACCTCACCTCCTATCTCCTCTGGGCCGCCTGTACTCCAAGGCGTAGCCCCTCTGCACCCGCACACCCATCGTCGATTCCTCCGGATCTCGCGATGCAGCCTTCGCCACATATATGCACCTCGTTGCGATAACCTGATATACGGTACGGTCTATGCCAGATGTGGTGTGGCTGGTGAGGGCACCACCACAGCCCATTGGCTGACATGTGCAACCGCACTTCCTAATACGTCGCTACCATACATAAGTAGTCGCCAACTGCAACGCTTATCACGAGATGCGACCATTATATTCAGACTTGACGGACCTACTCGACTTGTTGCGGCGGTCAAACACCATCAAAGTTTATAGTAGAGATTGATGTCACAGTTATGTTCCGTAGCTACGTCAGCTTATTGTCGCCAACTCATTCACCACGGCATGATATATCACACTTTTGTCCCATCCTTCCACATACGACCACAGGATCATGAAATCAGCGCTTCCCGTTCGCTCAGCGGTACTTAAGCATGATACCGGCAGATTAGTACTCGGGTGGGTGACCACCGGGGAATCCCCGCTGTTGTATGTTTTTGCCATCTTTTTTGCCATTTTTTGAACACGTAGATGCGTGCGTTCACACTTCCATCACTTCATTCAAGAAGAAAATCGAGCACTCTGGAGCCTACGTTAGTGGCGGTGAACCCACTTTGCATGATTTCATGTTGATGTAGGCTGCAGACCTGCTCTTTTTTTTCCGTGTATGAGGTGCCATACACTTGCCTCCTTGAATGACGGCAGAGAAGAAGTGAAGACAGGAGCACGAAAACCAACAAGGGTGATTTAGTAGTGAACGTTAGCAATGCTTGTACCTCATACATAAGATACGTTCACATTTCATAGAGCTGGTATGCGCTTCATACCAAAGCGTACCGGTATCGCTTTCAGCACGTATAGCGTGCGGGCAACGGGGAAACTCGTCATAACAACAAAATACCCCACCAAGCACAAAGCCCCCTTCGCCTTCCATTTACAATGCTTCGTGATGGACCCGGGTTGCATATCCAATGCCATCCCTCTAGCCCTCTGTTCGATTCTCGATTCTCAGGCTCGACACATCATATCCAAGGCGACGACCCGTTCTCGGGCTTCCCCTTGTGAAGCCCAAAGACTTAGACCTAAAAGTCCTTGAAGCTCTCTTCCCACTTGTCGCTCAGTTCCTTGGTATATGGGTCTCTCTTCTCCGACTCCGGTTCGTATTCATCAAAGTTGCGTGTGTCAGCGGGCCCCCTTAGATGTGGTACAATGGGTCCCTGGACTTCGCGGTTGTACAGCTTCTGCCAGTCAATGTTCTTAAACCACTCATGTTGTTTCACACGTTGAGCGCCGCCTGCGACGTTACCCAGTCGCTTGGATGTGTCGACGGTGCAGAGGCCGGAGATGAGGTCGCGTGCAGTGGGGGACATGGCAGAAGGGAAGCGCACGCGTCCCTCTACGATTCTACGGGATGTTAGCTCTCTTCTCTCAAGTATCATGGATGCTTGCGTACTGCTCGTAAATCTTCATTGGGTTCTGGTCCCAGAACGGTGGTTGTCCCACGAGGAACTCGTACACCAGGATACCAAATGCCCACCAATCGACTGCTGTGCCGTGGCCTGTGTTCCGGATGACCTCGGGTGCCAGATACTCGGGTGTACCACAGAGTGTGTAGGTCTCTCTATTCTCTACCTTCTTAGCAAACCCAAAGTCCACCAGCTTGAGGTGGCCTTCGGCGTCTATGAGTATGTTTTCGGGTTTTAGGTCGCGATATGCGACGCCTTCCCTCTCGTGGAGGAACTCTAGGATAAGGACAATCTCGGCAGCATAGAACTGTGAGGTGGGCTCGTTGAAGCGCCGTGCTCTCCGCAGGTAGCTGAAGACTTCGCCGCCGGGGCAGTAGTCGAGCTGTTCACCATGTCAGTCATTGACGAGCGCTGGCGATAGGCGCCGCTACGTACCACCATGTAGAGGGAATCCAGGGATTGGAAGCTGGCAACCATGGTGGTTATGAACGGGTGGCCAGCCACTTTAGCCAGAACATTGCGCTCATTCCGGACGTGCTCGACTTGCTTGAGCCGAATGACTGGGCGACGGGCGTCAGTAGATGCAGAGGGCGCATGTCGAGGGCGCAGACGTACCATCGACTTTGCGCAGAATCTTCAATGCGAAGACTTTGTTCTCGTCGCCCGCCTTTGCGTCCTTCAATCGCACCAGCCACACGCGCGCAAATGTACCTGACGTAGAGTCAGCGTCCTGTCCTCGTCTAGCGGCGTGGACAAGTATGCGCACCGGTGCCGAGGGTCTTGATCAGCTCAAAGTCTTCCTCGCGCAGGACCTTGGACGAGTGGCCGACGGGCTTCTTCTCCGGGTCAATGTCAATCTCGTCGTGGCTGAGCGTGTGCTTTTGCGCCTCCCATTGCGCCAGGTGCTGCTTCTCTTCCTCGCGCGGCCGGTCCATGGCCGAATCGGTGCGGTCGTGTAGCGGACCAGAATGCGACGGTGAAGAGGCCTCCTTCTTGTCCCGGTGGTGTTGCATGGGGTGCAGCATGTTCTTGAAGGTAGTCGCCATGGTGGCCGGTTATGCGCCTGCGACAACGGGGTAGGGGTGCGAGTAGTAGGCGCGATCGAGGGGTCGGGTGGGTTGCTCAGGTGCTGTCTTGTCCGGAATCAGTAACGGAAGCAACTCATGGCAGCAGGCACAGGCAGCGGCGGGGTCAATCGTCGGGTTTGTAGGTGCGTAGTAAGCAAACGTATCGTGAAGGGCAGCCTGTGGTTAGGCGGGTCGGCCGGGCGTGTAGCACTCGACGACCGCGGCCAAGGGGCACGTTGGACTATAAAGCGGGCGCGACCAGGTGCATGCATGGCGGGGGCTTTTGATCACTCACTCAATGACGCAGGGCGTGGGGACTGGGCTTGCAACAAAGCCGACTTAAGCCTGATGAGACGGCACGCCGCTCCACTTGTCGAGTACGAACCTGATGTGTTTTTAACTTTCCGATGTGAGCAAACATAGTGCCTTTTTAGGTTCCTGTTAGCTACTGCTTAAACAGACTTCCCGTACTCGGCCGCACCAGACGTAATTGCACGCTATCGGCCGACGTTCTGCCATTCTGCCTGTTCATCTCATTTCGATACGAATTGCCATACGAGGATATAACATGCTATTCGACTGTACTAGATATGCCCAAACTCCGAAAACTGTAACTCCAAGTATTGCATGGTCGTCAACTATATCTACACCATGTAGTCGTACAAATGCCCACCGCCAAGTGCGTCTACAACGTGGGAGTTGAGTGTAGACGCTTAGAAGAGACAAGTCTTGCGTGATTTGCAGCTCAGCCACTTGCTCGGGTGTTGAGAATGAGGGCGACAATGAGTCTGAATATGTTAGTTGTTGGCTGGTCGCATCGCTCCGGTGGACGTACCCGTAAAGACCCAGGACTTCGGCGAAAATGAGGATGAGGACCATGCCGACGAAGATCCTCGACTGGCGCATGAAAGAGCGCACACCCTACATATGTCAGTGTGTGCCGCTATTGTAGGACCAATGCTACCTACGGCGTCTCCAACGATTCCAATCGCGTAACCCGCAGCCAGGCCGGATAACCCGACTGACAGACCGGCAGCCATGTGCATGAATCCAGCATACAGCGAGTATGTGTTGTCCGGCGGCGGCTTGATGTCGCTAGCGATGAGGACGGATATGACGAGGGCGTAGACGGCCAAGATACCGGACATGACGATGGGGATGAGCGACTGCCCTTGTTAGCCGGAGCTTCCAGACACCATAGACAGCTCCTCACCTTCATAATCAGATCTGGCCTGTATGTTCCGATACCAGCGATGCCGATACCTGCTTTGGCTGTGCCATAGGCAGCTCCAGCACCTGCTGCCGTTAGCTCCTGCACGTCCAAGCGGTTGGGTCGGGTCTCGTACATCCAAAGATCATCTGGCCGCGGTTGGTATATTAGTTCGACAACTACGTGGGAGAGGTGCTACTCACAGCAAACGCGATTCCGCTCTGCGTCGTAGGTTAGCTATGAAGTCATCAACACGGCGTGGCACTCACCATGCCAAAGAACGGCGCGAAGCTCGGCGCGAGCTCATTTGACGACATGATGCCTGCTCGGGTGGTGCGCAGGTCGGGCGGGTGGTGTAGTAGCGAGGGAGTCGACGCGTGATGGGTGAGGCGTTGAATGATTGATAGTCGTTGCGCTGGGCGTTCGTAGGAGAATGGCACTAGGCTGCTTCGGGGGGCAGCACGCCCCAGCGCTTCTAATACACACGATCGTGGATACGCCTACACCATACCCGCCCATTTCGCACCTACACCACCTCGCATCTTCACGTATCTTCATTCAGGACGGCCCTGGGTCCTCGCTGGGCGGCTTCAACCCTTCTTGCCCCAGTCGCCCTCCTCCCCTCGGCCACACCCCGC